TTGCCATCAACTCTCTCAAATCGGGGGGGGTATCTGGGATGTGCTCAAACTGCCTTAGATTGTGACTTGGATAACAACATGTTTTAGTCATTGCTGGGACTCTGGGCGACTCTGCATTTTTGGGCGACAATTGGTCTTCCGCCCTGAGCGATTATAGGATGTTTTATTCGCTCAATATTTGGGCGTTCTGCAGGTTTGGGGGACGACGTACCTTTGTTTTTGGGCTTTCATTATATTTAATGACATTTCTGGTTGGGCTTTTACCCTGATCTCTCTAGATGAGCTTCTTCTCTTGGGTCATTTCCTTTCTTGGGCCATTTGATTTGAGCTGAATATTTTGTGTGTCAACGGTATCATTTAAGATTTTAAACTACGTTTGGTAGAAATTAAAATTTAGATTTTAATTTAAATCAAAATTAACAATTAATTTTAACCATATATTTAATGAGATTCACAAATTTTCAACCACTCATTTCATCAACTTTTATCAAAATTTACTAAAAATCTGATTGTAACCTTCACCAATAGGGATGGAGGTTGAATGTGGTAAATATGCATGAAAAATATATCATTCAAATTTTTTACTCACCCATGTATAGAAAATTCAAGATAGAAAAATATCTATATATGAGAACGGTGTTAATTAAAGATTAAATTATAGTAAATAATTATGTTCTCTCTCCAACGACTTGGTTCAACATACGATTACATATAAACAGATTAACCTATTTAAATATTGATGTAGGACAATTAGCTTTGGAGTTTGAAGAAGAGATGGATAGAAAATTGGCTAAAAGGGCTATTGCTCCGAAAAAACGAGCATAACTTTTAGTTCGAATGTCAGATTTTATATTATAATATGTTTTCGAAAAGGTCTTTCAGTACTCCATACCATTCAAACTGGGGTTCTGCAGTTGGCATCGTTTCCAACCTCAAATTCGCTGTTTAAGGCATGTGGCGGGCAATTGAAGTTTTTTTCTTTTTTTGGTTTTTGTGTTTTTAGTTGTTTTGATTTAGTAGATATCTATTTTGGTCTTTTTATTTAAATTAGGGTTTTCATAGACTATTTAAAGGCTCTTTGTTATCAGAATAAAATAGATTCGTTTTGGTTTATTATTATTTTCTGATGGATTCCAGTTTTACATGCTTAGGGTTTACGCTAGTTAGCCTTTGAACTTCCGTTCTACGTCAAATATTTACAAAAATGACCAAGAATCATATAAATATAGAGGTCGGTTTCAGAATTTTTTGAGAGAAATAGTGATGGAACCACGAAATGTATGAATAATAATAAGTAATAATTTCGAATATGTGATTGAAATTAGGGTTAGATTTTGACTTAATAATAAAATTGTTTTTTCAATGGAGACTTGAGATGGAACCTCAGAACATATTCAAAAGATTCTTTAAATATAAAATTCTCTCTATTTTGAAAAGTATACAAGAGTACTTAAAAAATTTTACTCGCTAAATTTGTAAGCGCTTTCTAAATTATAGAATATGACATTTAAAAATAGAGTATTTTTGAGATACTCTTAAGTTCCATTTTTTTCTTTTAGTCGTGATATTTATTGAAATCGTGGACCCCACCTTGACATTGATCGAGCAATTGATGGTTGTAAATAAGCAACAATAAACAATAGTCCGAGTAGAATCTTGTCCTACATTTCTCTATAAATTCTACTTCTCCCACGTCTGAATCAGTAAACGTTCCATTATGGAGTCAGCTCGTGGAATAAATATGGAGAAAAATAAACCATATCTTGTAATGATCTTCATACAATTTGTGTATGCTGGTATGGCTTTATTTTCTAAGGCAGCAATCACACAGGGAATGAATCCTTATGTGTTTGTTGTTTATCGCCAAGCTTTAGCTTCAATGGCTTTAGCTCCTTTTGCTTTCTTCATGGAGAGGTTGCAATATTCTTGATTTGATTTTTTTTGTCAATCTAAAATTGATTGAGAACATTTGTTTGCAAATAATTAACAGTCCATCTTCTCTCTGAATCAGAAATACGAAAGCTCCTCCATTATCGTGCATCCTTCTCTGCAAAATTTTCTTGGTTTCTTCATGCGGGTACGTGTCACAAATTTCCTCATAATTAGTTTGTACGCCTCCGGCTCCGAATATTAGACTGTGTGGAGCCTAATCATGTTGTTCACGTGCACGTTTCCGATTTCGTTTTGATCATTCCTAACATGGAATTCATACTTATGTTAAATTTCAGAATCACTATGAGCTTAAATCTCTACTACTTCGGACTGAATTATGTGACTGCAACTTTCGCTACAGCCTTCACTAATACAATTCCTGCTATTACCTTCATCTTGGCTGTCTGCTTCAGGTACGTGTGTGTGTGTGTGTGTGTGTGAGAGAGAGAGAGAGAGAGAGAGAATTTAATTTAAAAATTTAAGTTTAACATATGTTAATTGATTCTTAACTTTTCAGAATGGAAAGCTTGTCTATAAATAAAAGGCATGGAATGGCTAAGGTGCTGGGTTCTGCAATTAGCCTTTCTGGGGCACTACTGTGTTCTTTTGTTAGAGGACCTCCTATGTATGCAGAAAACAAAACAAAAATCTTAAACCTGTCGGAAAAGCATTACTCGAAAGCTGATTGGTTAAAGGGTTCTTTGATCATGCTTGCAGCCAACCTAACATGGTGTTTGTGGCTAATTATGCAGGTTCAACTGTCCACACAGTCCTAAATGTTAAACAATTAGAGAGTGCATAAACTTATTTCCTTAACACACATTCGCACGAGCTAACTTCGTAAAGACCTGACATGTAGTCAATTTTTCAACCTATGATTCTAATTATTTTGCCATTTATTAGGGCCCACTGATCAAGCAATACCCGTCGAAACTACGTCTTACAGCGCTGCAATGCTTTTTCAGCTGTGCATCATCAGCAATATGGTCGATGGTGAAGGAAAGAAATCCAGAATCTTGGAAACTCGGATGGAATGTTAATCTCCTTTCTGTAATCTATTGTGTACGTGTCCTCATCATTTGCGTTCATAAAAGCTCACTTAAAATAGATCTTTTTTATGGGTTAGCGTTAAAAATAAGTTACTCTTAACAAATACTTAATTTTTTTAATCTAGAAGTTGGAGAAAAGTGAAATTCCCTAACAAGTGACTTTTTGTTACTTTTAAGCTTATCAATGAATTGATCAATTACCTTTTCATTTCCTTGTCAAAAAAATTGTAGGGAGTAGTTGTCACTGGATTTACTTACTGGTTGCAAGTTTGGGTTGTTGAGAAGAAAGGGCCTGTATTCACAGCTGTGTTCAGTCCGCTGGCGCTTATCCTTACCGCGATTTTCTCAGCAATATTATTTAAGGAGACTCTCCACTGGGGAAGGTTTGTACACTGGATGCATATCTGGTATATTCTACTAGATAGGATAGCATAAAGAAGTAGAAAAAAAGTTAAAAACTTATTCATTTCCATCTTGATTTCTCTTTACTGGGATTTTTTTTTTTCCCCTTTTTGCTGTTACTTGCAGTGCCTGTGGAGCTATAATGCTGGTGATTGGTCTTTATGCAATTTTATGGGGGAAGAACAAGGAACGAAAAGCTGAAACAAGTGAAAGTAAAGTCGAAGATGGCGAACAAATCGAAAGAAGTGAAGAAAAACCACAGAATAATGAAGAAACAACGTTAGAGGGTATAACCTGCCAGAGATGATGTCTTCTTAATTTTCTAGGAGATGAGGCAGGTTGTTGCCATTTGAGTCTTGAAACAAAAATCATCTTGGTTCAATTGAGTCGCGCTCGAATCACTCCATTTGTTTCATCCTCCTGCATCTCCGATTTCGGAGTAGTCAAATGTACACAATATTTATATTCGAATTAAAACATTATCAAAATTCGTTGATTAACCAATGGATTTTCAAGAACCGACTTGTCAACACTTGTTAACTTTCGCGATCATTAAAGAATCATTCGATGTACAAATTTGTTAATAATGGAGAATTGCGAAAACTCCACATTCTTAATTTTATTTAACGTTCGACCACTTTAAATAACTACATGTTCTAGAACAAGAAACTTTTACCTAATCTAATGTTTCATTAATTTCTAAACGAGACCCTAAAAATTAAAAATAAATAAATTATCGTCATATATAAAATGTCTTTCAATCATTTTTTAGAAATTCCTATGACGACTAAATAGTTATTTGAGTATACAAATCAATGACGGTTTTAACTCTAGCACGTGTAGGTTACCTTAAAACTTGGCAAATAACCATCACAAACATAATATTTTATGTTTATCCAGCAACGTATATATTATTTTCGGTACAAATCGAACTTGCCAAAACCTGAACAGAACAACCATAATATTTGCTAAAATTCAAATAAAATAAAGTTCAGCAGATATTTTATTTTCCAGTGGGGACAGTGTGAACACTTTTCTCAGTTTATATATAGAAAGTCTTGAAATAAGGATTGAGTCCAAATTTTCTACATCTTGATATTCCATTGATTTGATGTAGATTGAATATCTATGGCGTCTGTTGACGGGAGTACCCCATTCCGACTAATACTAACCCTTCAAGTCATTAAATGCGTCAATAATCGATGAATGTAGTTTACTCAATGTAGTATGCAAGTTACTGTAAGTTGAACCAATTCGTCCCTAACTCGTGTCAAATTTTAATAATAATTCAAGGTTTTCATAAATAAATGACAATGGGATTTAAGTTTAAAACTTTTGTCTCAACTACCTCATTTAAAAGTTTAACCCAATAGAGAAGAGAGGAAACAAATTATGATTAGAGAACAAGTTCACGGAAGGAAGAAACCTAGCAGGTTGTTGGTAGTAAACAAGAAGTCCCACATTGGTTGGTAGAAGAAAAGAAATGGGAAAAATTCATTTCTCCTAAATATATATATATATATATAACCACCCACTCTCACCGCCCCCATCGCTCCAGTGACTATTCCGGTGACCGCTCCAGCGACCTCTCCAATTCCGGCTATCACTCAGGTGACTACTCCGATTCCAGCAACTGCTCTGACTTCGACGACTCAGGTGTCAAGTCACAGTCCAGTCACAGTGCAATTCAAAAGTCACAGCCCAGGTCACAAGTCGCAATCCAAGTCACAACTCAAGATTTTGTTCATAATCATGGGTTATTTTCTTTTTCTTTTTTTTTTTATAAGGATCAAAGGTGATTTTCAAATGATCACAGCACAGGTTACAAAATATTTTTGCACATGGCTTAGATTAATATTTAGTCACAAATTATCGAATTTTAAGATCACAGTTAATCCATTACGCGGTCTCAATTAGTCCTTTATGCGATCCCAGTAGGTCACGAAACACAACCCAGATTCAAACAACACCGCCTTAGCACTTCCTCAATTTTCAACGATGATCCAATCGCTCACCTCTCACAACCGTAAGCACAATGCACAACACAGAACACAACCACCGTATGCACAACGCACGACCACAGCACCCACCACTACACCCACTGTACACAGCCTTACCATAATCGCACACATGAACACTGCCATCACTAGATTCACCACCGCCGCCATTGGCAAAACAACCACAACCACCACTACTTCACAGACCAACCACATCGACCGTTGCTATAGATCGAAGAACTCTGTAAACATATTTTCAGTTAAAAATTAAAAAAAATCAACAAGTGTAAAGAGAGGATGGCAGGATTGGAGTCGAAAATAGCCAATTAGAAATCAATTCATGATCTCTCTGCGTCTCGGAGTGTCGGGCTAGCGACGCTGCCCTAATTAGCAGCGCGGGGAGGAAGAAGTCGCCGGCGGCGTGGACAGGAGTCGTCGACAGCGTGGAGAGAGAGAGAGAGAGAGAGAGAGAGAGGGCAAGAAATTGGGTTTGATAATTTTAAAGTTGGGGTGGGTTTATATAATTTAATTTTCATTATATTTTTATTAATATTTAATTAAATATAAAAAATATGTATCTATATATTTATATATCTGATTTTTGAAACTTAAAACACAAAACCTGATTTTAGAATTTGAATTTCCAAATGTAGGGATGGGTGTAATTTCCACAAAAGAAATCCACCATATAACCCAAATGGGCTACTCCATTCATTGCCAATTGGTTTTGGGTTATATTGAATAATAATTAATTGTTGTTAAAAAAATGTACAATGCCTTTGTATTTATAGGTAAAACTATTTCTTAATCCTATTAATAGAAGGAAACTAAATTTTAAAAGGAAATAAACTAAAATTCTAATCTAATTAGAAATCATATTCTAATTAATAAAGACAAGAAATCCTATTATAAACAAAATAATAGAATAAAAAGATAAAACTTATTATAACTAGACATCTTATTATAAACATATAATCCTAATCTTATTTACAATAGGATTGTCCTACATCAATCCCCCCACTTGAAAAAACTCGTCCTGGAGTTTTGTTGAAGAAAATAATCTTTGATAACTTATGTGTTTTTGAATTTGGCTGGGATTCGAGGAAATTCTCTAGCCATATGTTGCCGTGTTCTATGTTTGTTGAAACAATCAACATTTATAGCAGTTAAGGTCTGCAAATTCTTGTCAGCTTACTTCTCTATGGGCTCGTGATTCCTTTCAAAACTCAACGTAGTCAAAATTTGCGTGATATTGTGAAGGGTTTTGTCGATCCCCTCGATTCGTTGTTCGAGTTTGTCGAGCTTTTGTTCGTCGTTGACGGTTCGATTGCCACCAAGACCTTCGTTGGCCATCGGACTAAGGCAATTTCTTTGCTCTGATACCAATTTTGTTACGGAAGCGTTTATGAAATTCTTACAATAAGAATTATATATAAATAAAAATGATATTTGAACAATCATGTCTTTTATATATTGAATAATAATTGATTGTTACAAAAATGTATAATGCATTTGTATTTATAGGCAAAACTATTTCTTAATCCTATTAATATAAGGAAACTAAATTTTAAAAGGAAATAAACTAAAATCCTAATCTAATTCGAAATCATATTCTAATTAATAAAGACAAGAAATCATATTCTAAACAAAATATTAAAATAAAAAGATAAAACTTATTATAACTAGATATCTTATTATAAATATATAATTATAATCCTATTTATAATATGATTGTCCTACATCACCAAGCCCACAAAAATCCATATTCAAAATAGTGAAATTACAGGTAACCTTACTTTTCAAGATCCAAATTCAAAATTCAGATTTCAAATTTTAATGTTCAAAAATCAGATGTTTTATATATACATACAGATTTTTTAAGTTTAATTAAATATTAATAACAATATTATAAAAATTAATATATATACACCCCACTCCCCACCCAAATTTCAAACCCTAAAGGCTAAATCACGTCTTTCTCAGCTCCTCACCGGCGGCGACTGCACAGATCGGAACAGCGCCTCTCACTCCCCTCTCTCTCTCTATCTCTCTCTTCGTCTCTCAGTCATCTCTCTCTCAACCGAAACAGCGGCATAGCGGCATCACCACCGGAACAATCCCCTGTCTCTCACTACTCTAGCCGTCTTCTCTCTTCACGTCGGCGACGTTGCTGAAGACTGATTTCACTGAAAAAGATAAAAAAAAATGGCAATGTTTTTTCAAAAGACTAAGCAAGGCTGCACCAATCGCATTCGGAAGCGCCAATTTTCGCATCCCCTTTGGAGCTCTTGCCACGATTTTCGTGGGCTTCTCGTATTATTACTACTTTTCATCACCAAATTTGGTAATTTCTTAATCTGATTTCATTTGGGTGGTGTGGTGCGGTGATTGTTGGTGCGATGTGGGTGTTGGTGTTGGTGATGTTTGTTTATGCGGTTACGGTGGTGACGATAGGAGATTTGTGGTGTATATGCGTTGATCTGTGTTTGTTGTGTGTTCTGTGTGTGGTGGTTAGGGATTTTGTTGGTAGGGTGGTGGCTGTTATGTGGCAGTGGAGTGATTGATGGTGGTGTGGTGGTGGCATTGTCGGCCACCGTGTGAGGATGGCCGCAAGTGATGGTGGAGACATTGGAGGTGGTAATGGTATGTGACCCGTTAGTTGACCCACGTCCGATTATTTAACTGTAACCCTTAAATTCGAAGATTTGTGGTGGTGATGAAGTATGTATCTGTAGTGGCGAGGTGGTGGTTTTGTGGATCTTATAATTTTTGTGGTGGTGGCGGTGATATTGTTGGTGCTGGAGATTGTCATGGTTTACAGCCGGAGCGGTGGTTATGGAGACATTTGTGGTTGTGGACCAATTAGTTAACTATGACCCTTAAAATTCGAATTGTGACTCAAAATTAATTAAATTGTCACCGAAAAATTTACCTGTGATCATTTGAAAATAACTTGTGATCCTTATAAAAAAAATAAAAAAAATAACTCGTGATTATGAACAAAATTCTGATTTGTGACCTAGACTGTAACCTGTGACTTGAGTTGTGACCTGAACTGTGACTTGTGACCTGAGTCGTCGGAATCGGAGTAGTCGCCGAAACGGTCACCGGAATCGGAGTAGTCGCCGGANGAATCAGAGCAATCGCCGAAACGATCACCGAAATCGGAGTAGTCGCTGGAGCAGTCGTCGGAATTGGCACCGGAGCGGTCGTCGGAATAGTCGCCGGAGTGGTAGGGTGGAGGTGTTGGTGGGTTAATTTTATTTATTTATTTATTTATATCTTTTTATATATTTATATATATAAATAA